TTCGAAGGTATTTTTAATTATTGTTCCACTTCTATAGTGAACCATACGCAGTAATCACTATTTCCCTAGAAATTTATCTGCCAGTTCACATCTCTTCACACTGCTGACCTCCACTTTCTCACACTAATTCTAACTCTGCCAATAAACACCAATTCTCATTTTACTCGTAAACATTTTAAGCAGCATTTTTTCTATGTGAAAACTAATTCTGAAAAAATAGAATTTTCCCTACCTTTAATAAAAATAGCTTTACTTAACAATCAAATGAAAAATATAGCAGATTCTTCTAATTTAGACACCTTACTTAAGTATAGTAATGTGCTACATGAGATGTTAGTACTGCCTTCTAGGACTCTCAAGATGATACCTGGGCAACAGATTCATCTTTTTAATCTTCCATTCCTTAACTTTATGTATAGGGTTTCAGCTTTCAAACTGTATCTTCCTATACATTACTTTACGAATCTTTGAAACAAATATTGAAGTAGATAGCATTGTAGTCATTGTTGGTGTCACTGAGTGAAGCACAACTCATAGTGACCCTATGAATAGCAGATCTGAACCTGTTCTATCCTGTGCCATTCTCACACTCTCTGGCACACTTAAGCCGATTGCTGCAGTTACTTGTGTCAATCCACCTGGCTGAGGGGCTTCCTGTCTTTCACTATCCCTCCAACTTCACAAACATGATGTCTCTCTACAAGAAATAGCTTTTCCTAGCAACATGCCCAAAGTATGACAGATGAAACTTTGGAGACACACAACTTTCAGAAGTTAAGCAACTTGCCCACATTCACAGGGTTGTTTGGTTTTTTGTTTTTGTTTTTGTTTTTCATCAATGCTAACACAAGCTGGTAAAGCAACTACTGTTGTTGCTAGGTGCAGCCAACTCGAGTAGGACTCACAGCAACCCTGTGAACAGCTGATCTGAACCCTGTCGCATCCTGCACCATCCTCACAATCGCTGACACACTCGGGCCCTTTGCTGCAGTCACTGTGTCAACCTAAATCACTGAGGTTCTTCCTTTCCTTCGCTGCCCCTTCACCTTCCCAAGCATGATGTACCTTCCCAAGGAATAACCTTCCCTAGCAACATGTCCAAAGTACATGAGACAAAGCTTCATCATCATTGCCTCCAAGAAGCACTCTGACTGCACCTTCTCCAGGACGTATCTGCTTGTGCATGGGATATTCAGCAACCTCCTCCGACACCACACATATCAAAAGTATCAATTCTTCTGTCATCTTTAGTCATTGTCCAGCTCTCAGATGCATAACAATTGACTGAAAAGACCATTGCCTAAATGAGGCACATCTTAGTCCCCAAACTTATATAATTGCTCCTCAATAGTTTGGAGAGGTCCCTGACTACAGATTTTGCCAATGCAATACACCTCCTGATCTCCTCACTGGTAGTACCAAGTATAGTCATTGTGGATCCACATAAGATGAAATAGTTGACAGTCTCATTCCTTTCTCTGCTCATCATGATGTTGCCTATCAGTTTAGTGGTGAAGATTTTTGTTTTCCTAACACTGAGATGCAATCCATATTGAAGACTGCAGTGTTCAACCTTCTACAGCAAGTGCATCAAGTTCTCCATACTTTCTGCAAGTAAGGTTGTGTTGTCCGCATAACAAAAGCCACATTTTTCTTTATAGAGCCCAGCTTCTGTAATAAGACTGCCAAGAAAACAAACAGATTCATCCTAGAGAGGGTTAAACCAGGCTGCTCCTTGGAGGCAAGGATTCTGGGGCTTCGTCTGACATACTTTGGACATGTTGTAAGGAGAGACAGGTCTTTGGAGAGGGACATCATGCTGGGCAGAGTAGAGGGACAGCGCAGGAGGGGAAGACCCTCTATGAGGTGGATTGATTCAGTGACTGGGGTACTAGGGATGGGTGTGTCAGAGGCAGTGAGATTGGCACAGAATAGAGCACGGTTTAGGGCTGTTGTGCATAGGGTCACTATGAGTCGCAAACGACTCGACGGCACATAACAACAACAACAACATACAGATTAAACGGGTATGGAGAAGGGATGTAATCCTGAGACACCTTTCCTAATTTTTTTGTTTTTTATCTTTCCTAATTTTAAAAATTCAATGTTCCCTTGCTCTATCTGGACAACAGCCTCCTGCTCTATGGGATAGATCTGCACAAGCAGTTAAGTGCTCTGGGGTTCCCAGTCTACTAAATGCTAGCCATAACTTGTTAATAATCCACACAGATAAATGCCTTTGCATGGTCAATAAAGCACAAACAGGCATTTTCCTGGTATTCTTTGCTTTCAGTCAAGACCTATCTAACTTCATCAGTGATATCCCTGGTACCATGGCTTCCTTAAATCCTATTCAAAGTTCTAGAGGTTACTTGTCTATGTATTGGTTCTATCTTTTTTTAAATGATGCTCAGCAGTATTCTGCTTGCATGTGATATTAATGTTGTTGTTGTGTTACGTGCCATTGAGTCACCTTCGATTCATAGCAACCATAGACACCACAGCCCTAAACCCTGCTCTGTCCTGTGCTAATCTTATTGTCTTTGACACACTTACCCTCATTACCCCAGACACTGAATTAATCCATCTCATCAAGTGTCTTCCTCTCCTGCGCTGTCCCTCGACCCTCCCAAGCATGACATCCCTCTCCGAGGACTGGTCTAGCCTTGTGACATGTCAAAAATATGTCAAACAAAGCTTCAGAATCCTTGCCTCCAAGCAGCAGCCTGATCTCACCTTCTCTAGGACAAACCTGTTTGTTCTCCTAGCAGTCCATGGTACCCTCAATACTCTTCTCCAGCACCACAGCTCAAAGGCATTAATTCTCCTATCATCCCTAGTCATTGTCCAGTTTTCTGATGTATAGCAAATAACTGCAAACACCATGGCCTGGATCAGGCATACCTTAGTCTCCAGAATTACATCGTTACTCTTAAGTAATTTGGAGAAATCTCTGACAGCAGACTTTCCCAATTCAATTCATCTTTTTGTTTCCTGGCTGCTGGTACCAAGAATGTTGATTGTGGAGCCAAGTACAGTAAAGCTGTTAACAATCTCAATCTCTTCACCATCCATTATGATGTTGCCAGTCATTCCAGTGGTGAGAATCTTTGTTTTCTTGATGTTGAGCTTTAATCCATATTGAAGGCTGCAGTTCTGACCTTTTGCAGCAAGCGCCTCAGGTCCTCCTCAGTTTCAGCAAGCAGGGTTGTGTCATCTGCATAATGCAGGTTGTTGATTGAGTCTACCTCCAATCCTGATGCCACATTTCTCTTCATAGAGCCCAGCCTTACAGATAATCTGTTCTGTATATGATTGAAAAGGTATGGAGATACACATCCCTGGCATACACCCCTCCTGATTTTGAACAATGTAGTGTTTCCTTGCTCTGTTGGTTGCCTCCGTGTCCAAGTATACGTTTTGCATTAGCACGATCAAGTGTTCTGGGATTCCCATTCTTCTCAGAGTCAGCCACAGTTTGTTGTGATCCACACAGTCAAATGCCTTTGCACAGTCAATAAAACACAGACATTCCTCTGGTACTCTCTGCTTTCAGACAATATCCATCTGACACTAGCAATACTGTCTGATAATGTCCACATTCTGTTGAATAACCTTCTTGGGAATGGGAACACTGCTTCCTGTTAGTCAGCCAGGCAGCTGTCTGTCCCCCAAATTTTCTGGCATAGACTGGTGAGTACATCCAGGGCTGCATCTGTCATCTGGAGCATTTCAATTGGCATCCCATCGATTCCTGGGGTCTTATTTTTTGCCAATGCCTTTAGTGCAGCATGAATTTCTTCCTTCCTTCTCATTGGCTCTTGATTATATAGTAGTTTCTGAAATATTGCAGTGTTGGTCAATTCTTTTTCGTTCAGTGAGTCTGTGTATTCCCTCCATCTTCTTTGGACCACCTCGCTGGCCAGTGTTAGGTATTAGGAATGCAGAGTGCAAAGAGGTGGGAAGATGTCCACACCTTTAGATTTTTCCTTATTCTGTCTATTAATCCCTGGCTTTGCCCAGAAACCACACGCCTAGATATCAGGAATTCTGACAAGGTGTCTCTCCTGGGGGTTATCCAGGCAGCCTTCTCCCCGGAAGGCCTCCACTTTGTTAAACTCAAAGTCACACTTGAACTGCAGCAGCCTTTCTGGGCAGCCACACGAGGCCTCCTGCTCTCTGAACTTACACTGCCCACTGCTGTTGCTTTAAGAAACAATCCCCCAAGGATTCACCTACACTAGACACAAGTAATCATTTAAAATACAATTTAAAATTCTAGTGTCTCATCAAAATCAAGTAAATTCTTACTACTTTATATTATTTGGATTCTTTTACAAAGAATATATTTCATCCTGTCATACAAACTAGAACAACTTTACCATCAGAATTTGTGATTTGAAAATACTCCAAAAGAAAAAACCATATCAATGGTCATATGCCATTTCTTAAGTGTCTCCAAATAAAAACAAATTCTCTTGCCCTCTATTTCTTTTTTTAACCTCTCTGAACTCATCTATCAGTCCCCTCTTTTCCCTCCATCTGTCAATTTTGTTTCTGCATATGATGAATCCTTTATGTCTACTGAACTTTCATCAACTAATATGAAAGATCACCCTCAACTTGGTGAACTGATACAGTGACTGCAGCAATGGACTTAAGTGTGTCAGAGATTGTGAGAATGGCACAGGACAGGACTCAGGATAGGACAGGGTTCAGGTCTGTAGTTGTAAGGTACCTAACAAAACATTAATCTGAAAGATAAAATAACCCCTAAAGCACCGTCTTTACTTTCTCCGTTATGTTACTTGATCATAGTTATTTCTTCAAGGTCTGATCTAACTCTTTTAGGTGTTGTTGGCTGACTAATTTGCATAGCTTTTAAATGAGCACATTTAGAAGTTTAGGACATTTTTAGCTTCAGGTAAGAATTTTCTCCAAAGGCCCTTTGAATCAATGCCTAAATAAATGATGAGTGAACTGTTCCCAGGCCTGCTTACCTCTGCAATGAAGTCGTGCAGCTCTCCTTCACTGGGGCAGCATCCTAAAGACCTGATAATTGTTCCAATCTCCCTGGGGGGGAAAAGCAGTCAATAAAATAGAACATAAGCTCTAAAAAAGGCAAGAAGAGATATATCTGAAATATTTCAAAGCATATATAACTTAGCAAACAAAGGTACTCAATAATCATTTTCATAATTACAAATGGCATTTTCTGAGAAAAAGAAGAGATATGCAAATGAACCGGGGTGGGGGCGAGAAATGTCTTCATAAAAGTTCAAGCCTTGCCTGGACCTAAATTTTAAAGTTCTAGAAAAAGAAATGTATATCCAGGAGAAAGAAAGAAAAAAATGCCAAACTGTACCTGGGCTAAAATTTAAAAGTTCAACTGAAGAAAATGGGGGATGGGAGGAAATAATAGTAAGAAGAATGTCAGCACCTTCCTACTGGATTTTCAGTGTTTCTTAACTCTTTTGAACCTCAATTGCACTTTCATGGTGAAGTTTACATTAGTGTTCGCTCACTCACTCACAGCTGTCAAACTGGAATCAACTCATAGTGGACCCTCCACCCGGTTTTCAGAAGCACAGGAGGAAACTGCCCATCTTTCTCCTGCAAAGCAGCTGGTAGTTTTGAACCTCCTGATGCTAACACAACTCCTTACAATGAGGTGACCAGAACTCCCTACATTAGTGGCAGAGCATTAACATGTTGTTGCAAATTATGATAATGGAGGGGCAAGGGAGGGGGCAGGGGAGGGGAGGGAAAGCAGGAGGGAGAGGGGAGGGGGGAGTAAGAAGAAGGAAAAATTTGTTTCTAAGCATGGTCGTCAATTTAAAATTGTATACTAATGAAGGAATTTTTTTTTCTCTTCGGAGGGGGAAGCGAGCTGGTGGGGAGGGGTGGGCAGGGAGAAAATTGCGGCAATGAATGAATGGAAATCCAAAACCTCTGTAAAAAAAAGTGTGCCACAAAGTGTTAAATACATGGCAGTGAGTAACAGACTGCTAGGATCTAACTTCAACCTCTGCAGGGTGCTTGCTGGGATGGTTACCTGATCTCTGTACACAAAGTCTCCTGGTCTGTAAAGAAGATGTTCATAGGGCCACTGAATCAGTTCTGAGTCCTCTAGCCCATGTACTAAAGAGCACAACCTGCCTGATCCTTGTCATCCAGCCTACGGCAGCAGCCACTCTGTGGATTCATCTCTCTGGAGTCTTTTTCTCTGAGTCTCTACTTCACTAATCATGATGTTCTTCTCCACGGTGAAGTCCCTCATAAAACGCCAGAGTACAAGAGACTCGGCTTTTTCTTTTTCAAAGGAGCACTCTGGCTGCAATCCCAAAACAGATTTGGCAGTTCACAGTTTATTTCATTTTCTTCACAAACACAATTTGAAGGCATAAATTCTTCTTCAAATGAGCTTATTCCTTATCAACAATATCTACCTCAAAGCACAGAACTGTGACATGACATAGGTTAAATAAATATGAGCTATGCTTGCAACAATGGGCTTCAGCACAGCAGAGATTACGAGGATGACACAGACTCAGCCAAGGATTGTTGTGCTATGAACAGGATCACTGTGAATTGGAGGGGGTGTGAAGGCAACTAACAAAAACACAGCATCATGAATGCAAAGCACAGCTGTCAGGAGGACAGCCACTCAATAAGCATGATTTACCCATGTCGTCCTCTCCATAATAATGTAATTCAACACTACAGATAATCTAAGAAAAGTATAACTGTTATTACAAAATCTGTATGCGGTTACTTTGCTGTTGTTGTTATATGCCATCGAGTCACCTGAGACTCAATAGCGACCTTAAATACAACAGCCCTAAACCCTGCTCGATCCTGTGCCAATCTCATTGTCTCCAGCACACTTACTCCCATAACCCCAGTCACTGAATTAATCCATCTCATCGAGGGTCTTTCTCTCTTGTGTTGTCTCTCTACCCTCCCCAGCATAATATCCCTCTCCAAGGGAGATATTGACTAAGTCAGGAAATATTTTTGCTCAAACTAAGTAAAGTTCTATAATTGAAATATTCAGAATCAATTAATGTAACCTCAGATATGAACAGGCTAAGAAAGAAAATTCATATATTAATAGAGAAAAAGTATTTGACAAAATTAAACAACCTTTCATAGTAAATACACTCAGCAAACTAGAAACCAAGGGGAAATTTTCTTAACTTGATGAAGACTAGCTACAAAACATACCAAAATACTTGGAACACAGCAAAAGTACTCAACAATTAATTTACAGCAATAAACAAATGCATTGCTGTTGTTGTTATGTGCCGTCAAGTTGCCTCCGACCCATAGCAACCCTATGAACAGCAGCTCTGAAGCCTGCCCATTCCTGAGCCAGTCTCACTGATTCTGACACACCTACCCCCATTATCCCAATCAGTGTATCAATCCATCACAACCAGGGTCTTCCTCTCTTGCGCTGTCCTTCCACCCTTCTAAGAATGATGTCCTGCAAGAAATAGGTCCCTCTTGGACACATGTCCAAAGTATGTGAGATGAAGCTTCAAAAATCCTAGCCTCCAAAGAGAAACTTGGTTTCACCCTCTCCACAATAGACTTATTTGTGTTCTTGGCAGTCCATGGTATGTTCAAGACTCTTCTCCAGCACCACAACTTGAAGGCATCAATTCTTCTTTTGTCATCCTTAGTCATTGTCCAGCTCCCTGAAGCATTGCATGTAATTGTGAAGTCCATGGCCTGGATTAGGCACACCTTAGTCTCTAGAATTACATCATTGCTTTTTAGTACTCTTCCCAATACAATTCGTCTTCTTATTTCCTGGCTGTTGGTGTCAAGAGTGTTGACTGTGGAGCCAAGCAAGCTATAACTGTTAACAGCCTCAATCTCTTCTCCATCTATCATGGTGCTGCTAACTGGCCCAGTAGTGAGAATCTTTGTTTTCTTGATGTTGCGCTTCAATCCATATTGAAGGTGCAGTCCTTGACCCTCTGCAGCAAGTGCTTCAGGTCCTCCTCAGTTTCAGCAAGCAGGGTTGTGTCATCTGCATAACGCAGATTGTTGATGAGCCTTCCTCCAATCCTGATACCACAGTCCTCCTCATAAAGCTCAGTTTCTCGAATGATTTGTTCCACATTTAGATCCGAAATAAATGAAATAGAAAACAAAAGCAAACAATATAAAAGACCAGGAATTGGTTTCTCAGAAATGATTAATAAAATTGACAAGCCACTAGCAAACCTAACAAAGGAAGACAAAAACACACAATGTGAATAAGAAATGCAATGGGTGATGCCACAAAAGAACCAGCTGAAACAGAAATAATGGTAATGAGGAACTCCATTCCAAAAAAATGTTAAAATCTAGAGGAAATGAGAACATTTTTAGAAACTTACTGCCTACTTGAACTAACACAGGTAAAAGACAAACATCTGAATAGACCCATCACAAAAGAAGAAATGAAACAGGTCAGGGAAAACTCCCAACCAAAAAAGGCCCTGTCCCTGACAGCTTCACCTGCAAATTCTACTGACGATTCATAGAAGAACAGTTACCAGTGCTACATATACTATTTCTGAATATAGAAAAAGATGGAACATTCCCCGAATCATCTTATGAAACAAGTGTAACTCTGGTACCAAAACCAGGTAGAAGACACTATTAAACAAGAAAATTACAGATCAAAATTCCTCACAAACACAGACAATAAAATCTTCAACAAAATCCTTAAAAAAATCTATTTTTAAAAAAGTAATATAACATGATCAACTGGGATTCAAATCAGGTATGCAAGGATAGTTCAACATAAAGAAAACAATCAGTGCATTATGCTAAGTAATTCAATCTCATAAGGACACATACTGTATAAGACCATTATTGTAGAATGATTATGAGGATCCAAAGAAGGGAGAACTTCATCATAGAGTCACACAATTTGATGGGTGAAAGAAAGGATGTGTAAACAAAAGGGCAAAGATCCTGGGTGAAAAACAATGTATATGAACTTTGTATGTAAACTAGTATAAAAGTTTAAAAAATATTAAAAAAAATCAGTATGAGAAAAGGCATTTGACAGTGTTCAACAATAACACTCTTCCTGATTAAAATGATCAACAAAATGAGAATGGAAATTGTTATTGTTGTTGTTATGTACCATTGAGTCAACTACCACTCACAGAGACTCTTCACCAATTAGCACAGTGGTGAGAATCTTTGTTTTCTGGATGCTGAGCTTCAATCCATATTGAATACTGCAGTTTTTTACCTTCTGCAGTAAATGCTTCAGAATAAGAATAGAGGAAAGTATATAAATCAAGTTCTGGTGGCCTAGTGGCAAGAAGCTGCACTACAATCCCCAAGGCACACAGTTCGAGGCCACCAGCTACTCCACAGGAGAAGGATGATCAGTCTTCTCCTGTGTGATTAACTGCCTCCAAAAACCCACTGAAGGGTCAGCTATTGGTTGGTCCTGACTCTATGGTACAAAACAACAACAACATATAAAACAAAACTAATAGCCAACATTACCTTGATAGCTGATTTCCCAACACCATAACTCAAATGCATCAATTCTTCTTTCATCATTCTTATTCACTGTCCACCTCTCAGATGCACAGCAGGTGATTAGAAAGAACACAGCTTCTTTGCTTTTTATTTGATTTTAATTGATATCTTAATGACAGTTTACAGAAAACCTGGATTTCTATTAATTCACTATTGCACATTTTCCTCCCTACCCCCCTATCTTTGCTGCTGTTGTTACTGATGCCATTGTTAGGTGCCATCAAGTTGACCCTTTGAACAACAAACCTGAGCCCTGTCCTACCCTATACCTTCCACATCATCTCTGATACACTTGAGCCCATTGGTGTAGTGACCAGGTCAACCCATGACTTCTTTAGGACTAGAAAAATCTTGGTAAGCGCTATAGAGAAGGATGGCAAGGGAGATAAGTAGAAAATGAGAGTGATAAGAGAAACAAAGTCTTTCGAAATGTGAGAAAGGCAAAAAAAATCTATTTCCTGGTTTAGGAATGGACAACTTCTCAAAGACACTGAGGAACACTAGTCTCCCCT